ATTGAACTGCACACTTAAATCTTTTAATGCGAGCAACGAACCGAGTGGCGCGCTCGAAGGCCGTAGCAAGGTTTCAATCAAATATTGACTTTAGCAAAGGCGGCGAACGTTACACATTGCGTGTGTTTTCAGCTCCCGCTTTCTAGCCGGAGGCCAGCCGAGGTTTGATGGCGTCGTATGTAAGCGAGAACCTAGTTACACTCGAGTCAGGAACAGCGGGCAGCTCTCAAAGGTGTGGCTATGCTTTAAAGGCGACGTGCACTCCTCCAAAACGCAAGAACATATTGGGATGGTGATGGAGGGCTCCCGTAAAGGCTTAGACAACATGCTTTATGACATCGTGCAACAAGCGTCAAAATAAGTGCCGCAGTGGAGAGGCCTACCGAGTGGTGCCCGTAAGCATTGTCAGCAATTGATGTAGCTACCCAATGATGACCAAAATTGTTTACTCAAAGAATGGCCAAGCTGAGTTATGCGACCCTAGGAAAGGAGGACTTAAACCGAGTGCTAATTTCGGATCGGCTGACGAGGGGCCAATCCGTGTTTTTAAACTATGTACTCCGCAGTGTGTTCCGAAGATTACAACGTTCATTAAAGATCAATCCCAGAAAGATTCGTATGCAAGAGAAAAAAGAGTCTGTATATTTTCTGAGCAATATAGGGATCAAGAGCACGGGATAAGAGCCGTTTCAAGTGCTCCACAGTTGCGGTGCAGTATGCGTGGTGCTCTTTATTTCTGATGTTTTCACAGTTAATGTGGAGTGTCTGCGGTGTTCTTCGTTTGTGATGGTCTCCATAGTTACAGTGCAATGTGGGTGTAGCTCTTCATGTCTGTTCTGCTCCTCACAGTTACAGTACAATGCGCGTGCTGCCCTTCGTGGTCTGGAAAAAATTCAGTGTTGTTACCTAACGCCAGTATCTCGAGGAGCGGCTAAAAAAAGTGAGGTCATGGCTATCTGAGAAACTATGAAGGATGAAGGTTGGTTTTTAAAAATAACACTTTACCGCTGTCTTTTTGCACCAATCACTGAGCACCGCAGTCCTTCAAAGAGGAATCATCGAGGGAATTGCCAAGGGCTGCATTTCAGCATAGCTTAGGAAACGGCAAAAACGCTGGCCATGCGGATTCAGTTCGTCTTAGAACGAAGCGCGTGATTATTTACCATTCGGAGCTCTATCTTAGGAGAAGGCCGAGAAGGTAGAATACTGTTTATATATTTCAGGAAAGATACTGTACAGATAGTTTTTTATGATGGGACAACCGGTTCGGGACCACACGATCTTCCTCAACGTTGTCTTCCCCGTCGTACAAATGCTCTTATTTTCAGCAGACACTAATATTCGACCGTTTGATATTTCCACTTTTGCATGTTAAGTCATTTCTTTTTCACTACACCGCATCAGGCGGAAATGGCTTTAGCGTCTGCAATTGTCGTCACCATTTTTGGCCTTCGTTACGATTCTTAGTTTTTTTTGTTTTTTTTGTTGCACTCGCTCGTCGTTGTTTGTCACTCTTTACCGCCATTTGTCATTACTTTCATTGCTTTTATTGCAGTCCTAGTGTGAGTTGTTATTAAGGTTGTTGTCCGTCAGTTGTAATATCGCCTTTAGCGTCATAAGCGGATGCTTTCATAACCCAGATCGTCATTATCGGGGTCTATCATGTCTGGCCTGTAATCATTGCCGTTGTCATCTGAGTTTTCGTAGTGTGGTCTTTGTTTTGCTGTTCGGAGTCATTGGGATAATTAGGATTAAGGTCGCTGTCGTAAGTGTTGTCACTGAGGCTGTGGTCAGCTTTGAGGTTATCATTGAAGTCGTAATCGAAGTGATTACCTTCAAGGTCGAAGTGGTCGGGGTCGTTGTAGTCCTGTTTGTTATTGTAAGGTCGGTCTCGCGATGGATGTTTTCTTGTCGTGGGCGTCACTGACCGAGAGGGGAGCTTTTCTTCCGTTGTCCATGGCTCTTGGCGTCCGTCCCATTGTCCCATTGCAGACAGAGATACGCGTTGAGGAACGCCGCTGCCCGACGGATGGTGTTGAAGCTTCATCCCTCATCCGTCGCGTGCAGATCCGACGAACGTCTGCTGGCCACCGCCAGACAGCGACAACTCCCACCTACAGCCACTCGCAAGCTCACCGAGTTTTTACTGGCTGGAAGGCGAGATCTGCAGCTGTCGTCGTGGCCCGTGACACACACGAATCTGTCACGTCGTTGACCGAAATACGCAATGGTAAACTGCTGCCGACAAACAGACTCGTTTTCTCCCACTTCCAGCCAGCTCGGTAGCCCAGCGACCTCTTGCTAGCTGCAGCAAATCCGTCGTTGCCGCAACTTGCGTGTCGTAGCTCGTCCATTATGCCTGGCTGCATTATTCCATTCGTCGATCCCGTCGGCACTCGAAGTTTTTCGTTGCTTCCGTAGTGCTCAGGTCGCAATACGTGCTGATATGACTTCCGCTCTGCTGGGAGACGGTTGAGCGAGAAGAAAACTCTTCATAGATTTACAGAGAAGAAACTCTACAGTTAGCAGTACGTGATGGTACAACCGGTACAGGAGCGAATAATCTTTCTGATCACTGCCCTCTTCGTCATAGAAATTTTCTCTATTCTTAGCGGGCGCTAACACCTATGCTAAGCTGTGGAATGCTCAGCTTCGTTGCTCTGACAGACTATCTGGTACCATAGCTTCTCTTTTTCCCGAATTATGCTAACACTGCGGCATAGTCTACGGTGCGACAGAACTCTATAACGACCTTATGTGACAACTGTTTATGCATCTCAGCTGAGGTGAGGGAGGGGGGGGGGGTGAAGGGAAACAGAACAACGATCCAATGAAGAAATCTCTAGCACTCTAGTTCCGTGTTCAGCTATACCATCAATGTGACATATTTGGAGGACATGTTGAATTAGGACTGTTTTACGCTTTTGCATCACAAGTAACTGCAGCGGCCAAATTCATTGAGCAATGTGCCAATCAGTTGGAACGTGTCGTCACGACTGCGTAACACCATTTGTCCCCGCTTTAAACGACGCAGGAGATAAATTATGTTCAAAGGCTGACTGATAATTCTTCAGGGGAGCACGGCCACGTCCATTGCAAGCCGGTAACTGATCTCGGTAAGGTCGGTGAAAATTCATTGCACCTGTAAACTAATCTTAACTTGACTCTTAGTCACAGTTGTAAACTCGCACATTCCGGTCAAGTGGTTTTCGGCCATATTAGAGCCACAGATCGAAGAACGCAGGCAGGGATGGGCAGTGTTTCAAATACAAGTATTTGAAATACGTATTTCAAATACTTTGTGTATTTTGCATTTGTATTTAATTACAAATTGGGTAATGTATTTGGCGTGTGCATTTAAATACTAAAACGTGGGTATTTCAAATACAATTGTAATTAAATACAATTTTGTGGGCGAAAATACATACTTCTAATTTATTGCCACTCTCCAGAGCAGGAAGGAAACTACGTTCTGCGCCGAATGCAGTGTCTCTCAATCAAGCACACGCGTTTAGTGACTTTGTGACTAAGGTGCTAGTCCAGGGCAGGGTGTAAGATAGACAGGTGGGGAAACGGCCCATGGGAGCCTACAGCAGCGCCGTGACCGGATTGTGTCCTCGTCTGCTTGCGGGTACCCACGATTTGCGACAGATGGCGCTGCGGCAAGAGGAAAAAAATCGGATTCGGATTTGCATGGAACTCTATGGGAGAGTGCGCTGTGTCAGCGACACTTTTTGTTTAAACTAATGTTAAAGACGTTTATTAGGACATAATTAATATATATGCACCTACAGAGATCTCGTTTGACTTTAAGTTGACTTTGAAGCAGGAAACTTGCGGGTTTTTGTGGCGGCGCAAGCGGAAGGAAGTTTGGTAACAATCATTTCAGGCTTTTTATTTTCTCTTTTCTTTTTTGCGCGCGTAGCAGAAGTTTCGTTTTGGCGCCTGGAACCCCTGGAGCCGCCAAAGTTTACAAACCTTTTCGCGCTGTTTATTTTTCTCTTTTTTCTTTTTGCGCGCGTAGCTGAGGTTTTGTTTTGACGCCTGGAGTACCTGGAGCCGCCAAAGTTTCCGTTTTTATGGGCCGATACTGTTGCGTTCCGAATTGTCGGTCGGGTTACGGCCCGAAGAAGCAGAAAGCTATCATATTTAATGCTCCGGCTGATCCTGAGCGATTAGCAGCATGGAACAAAGCTGTGCCGCAAATGAAGCGCGAGCTTCGAAGTTCGGACGGAATTTGTGAGAAGCATTTTCCGAGCCACATGCTCTCGTCCAGAGCGACCCATATCGAGTACAAGGGTCGTGTACTTCTGCACGTACCAAAAAGATTAAGGCTATCGCAGGATGCAGTGCCCTGCATTTTTTCTGGAGACCCCGACTGCCGGATGGCGCGCAAGGCAAAGAACACACGGAAACCGCCTGCACGACGGTCACATCTCTCTTCTTCAGAGCGTCAAAGGCATCCCACATCTGATGGTCCGTCTACGAGTGCGCTACCGCAATGTTCTGGCGATGACCTGGAACATCCAACAGCTGACGCACCAAACACAAGCGCGCTTCACAACAGCGTGGAGCCTGCACCAACTACGCCGTCCATAAGTGCGCAATGCGACAACACGGAACGTCCTGCCGCCGAAGTACGAGCACAAAGTCCAACTCATGACATTTCTCAGTATACTGCGGCGCCCTTTGCACAGGAAAGCTGTTTTCCTGAAGATGAGGTGCAAGGCAGCGAAGAAACGTCCCAAGGCGCCTGTGATCATCCTCTCTCTTTTTCTGAACTTTTTGAGAAGCCACATCTCGTCGACCTTCCAGGGAAGACTTGGGCTGTCCACACCATGGACTATGATGGGGTGCAGGCAATTGACTTTTCTACCATATGCCCAAAGGTTGACACGTCACAACCTCGCATATTTGAGAGGGTACTCTCCATCTCACCAGAACAGGGTGGAGGTTTGTCAGTCAACACATTTGTCTGGGGAAAAGCTGTATCCACAAACTTGACCATCGACGGCATCAAGATCGCAAGCGTCCATGACCTGGCACATGCCCTGAAAGTGCTTGATCGGCTGGTGCTCTGTTCTGGTGGCCCTATGCACAAGGACTACCCTCAAGTTCGACCAGAATGTGCATTCGTCGACCTGCGTGATGTGTGGCGTCATAACCGATGTACCTTCGTCACCAGCACTGATGGGCAATGCCTGCTTGTCGCTCACTAAAGAACACGCTTCGCATCCATGCTGCTAGACTAGAAAAGAAAAAGGCAGCCCACAGCACTAAGCTAAGTCTTGTCACATTCAGTCCAGCGAAAAAGGCAAAAGTGGAGCAACTAAACAAAGCCAGGATCGCCTGCAGAAGGTCCCGGCTGAGACTTTTCAAGTCCAGACAGAAGCTACAAGAAGAGCTCACTGGCTGCTGCAAGAAACTGCATGATGTGCAGCAGGACTCGCTTCACGAACTACTTGCTGCAGCCACCCTCTCCAATGCGCAGCTTTCGGTAGTGGAAGAATGCATAGCTGCAGCGAAGTGTAAGTCCAAGCGGCAGCGCAGATATGACGACAATTGGTTGCTGCTCTGTCTGCTGCTCCACATCCGCACACCTACGGGCTACCGGTTTCTCAGGGACAAGGACATTTTGCCTCTGCCATCTGTAAAGACTGTTCGAAAGTACATCTCCATGCTTGGCCTCAAGTGTGGATTCGACCAGGACTTCTTCCTAGCCCTGAAGATCAAATTGCAGCACAAAGCGGAGTCTGAAAAACATGGTATTCTTATATTTGACGAAATTCAAGTAAGGAAGAGCAAAGCTGTAAATTCAAGAACCATGACGTACACTGGTATGGTGGATGACGGAGGAAACACTCAGAAAAGCAGCGAACTGGCAGACCATGGCCTTGTGTTCATGTTTTGTCCGCTTGCTGACAGCTACGCACAGCCGATCGGCGTCTTCGCATCACGCAACTCCACCAGGGTAACTGTCCTTGCCCAGTTGATGCTACAAGCCATCCTACTCCTAGAAGAAGCTGGAGCAAAGGTTCACGGGATCGTCTGTGATGGTGCAAACACTAATCGATTCATGTGGACGGAGCTTGGTATCAGCGGCTTGTGCCACTCATTTGAACATCCGGTTGACCCAGAGCGAAAAATTTATGCATTCTCGGACACTAGGCACCTCTTCAAGTGTATCCGTAATCGTCTGGAAAAGCAAAAAGTATTCAAAATTGGAAGTGAATGGGTCAAGTGGGCGCACTACGAGGCTCTCTTCCATCAAGACCAGCTGGTGCCTGGAGACCTCAGGGTGTGTGCCAAGCTCACAGTGGCACACATTCACCCATCCCAAACAGACAAGATGAGGGTGAAACTGGCGACACAGGTATTCAGTGCCAGCATGGCAGGAGGACTCAACTACTACCAGGAGCAGGGTATTCCCGAGTTGGTGGACTGTGAAGGAACCATCCACTTCACCATGCGTCTGAACAACTTGTTTGATGCCCTGAACAGACGCTACACCGCTGAGGGCCTGAAGCCTGGCTGCAGTGACCTGCTGACCATCAAGAATGCAATCACATGGCTAGATGACTGGCAAGCAGACCTAGAGCATGGCCACATTCCCAGGGAGCTCTTCCTCACGGACAGCACTAGCGAGGGGCTCAGAGTCACCCTGCACTCAACACTTGAACTATGTAAGCACCTGCTGGAGAACTGTGGATTCGCCTATGTGCTAACAGCGAAGATGAATCAAGACCCAGTGGAACGTTTCTTCGGGAAAGTGCGACAAGCTGGCTGCCAGAATGACCACCCGAGCATGCCAACCTTTTTCCAGTTATACAGACTTCTTTCGGTACAGTGCCTGCTGCGGCCACCGAAGTTCGGCAACTGTGAGGTCCTCGAGTCGGAACCTTTCATGCTGTCGTTCACAGAATTCAAGGCCGTATTCCAAGACAACGAACCAACACAAGCACTGCCCATTGTGGAACTTCGAGAACGACTTGATGGCTTGATCTCAACAAGCGAGTGGGAATGCGACGACCTGATCCCTAATGACGATGACCAGGTGGAGGTTGTTGACTGCATTATCTACTACATTACAGGATAGCTCTCCCGAAGGCTCAAGAAGTTCACAAATTGCACCACATGCCTTCGCGCACTATCCACAAGTCAGCTGGAGGCTCCGGTGGCAAGCTTGACCATCTCTAAAAACAGGGGCCGCTTGACTCACCCGAACATTCACCTCTTTGCCCTCTTGCAGGCTGCAGAAGGGCATTTCAGAGATCATCGAAGTGAGCATGATGTCTACTGGAGCACAATAGATTTCGTGATTGAAGAATGCCCCCTGTACTTCCCATGCGAAGAGCACAAGACTGACATGATCCCCACAATCCTGCATTACTACATCGGAATGAGGATGCGGCAGTGCTGCAAGCAGGACAACAGAAACATGAGGAAAGAATCTCAAAACAAAAAAAAAGCAGGCACGGCAGTGCTCCACCTAGCCTCACAAGAAATCACCTAGAGCATTCAAGGAAGCCTGTTCACATCTGGCTATTTGACTTCGCTTCTGCTCAACCCTGCCTTATGAGGCCAGTCCTTGGCATCTACAACACTTGGAAAGCGGGTGAGCTGTTAATGCTGCCTCATTCAGACTCACTGCCATATTTCTCATCAACACCAGAAGGTAGGCGATCCAAGTCACTGCGTGTGCTTCAGGTCGATTGCTGACACTGGAAAGCCTTGCATAGGCGAAGAGGAACAGAAGGCTTCGCATCAGTCACTGCATACGAGTTAAGAGTGTGTCGATCGTTATGTTCAGTAGTTGTTCAATATGAAAGGCAAAGCTCCCAGGTCTTGAGCAGCTGCAGAAGTTTGAAGCCGACAGCACATATCAAGCAAAAGCCTCGAGTCCTATCATCACAGCACCAGCGAATTCAAGACCGTGATCTACAAGAGTGAAGATCTGCATAGAAATCTAAAAGATTACTGCTTCTGAATAAAAAATTTTCAGAAATCACATGCTGGCATACTTGAAGCTCTATCATTTTTATTTCACGTTGTGTTCACACAGCATACAGCTGGGCAGTGTGACAATAGTGCTCTAGCTGTGCTTACGTGCATTGCTTGCAAACCACGCTTTTCAAATTTGTCGCAGATCTTTCCATACGACCACTACCTAAACATGTTTTAATATCAGCTTGAACAGGTGCCTCATGCTAAAAAGAGGAGCACCGCTTCACTGACATAAACCATTCAAACATGTGGACACCATAATTCTCTGTCAGCGGATTCAAATTCAAGCCGAGGTGACCAGAATATAACGGAAGCTTATTGCAGAAATGTACTCAGAGTTGGGTTTCGTGTCAAAATGTCCCCGGGTGGTCTCAATTAATCATCAGAGTTCCGTTGGGACGTGTCAGATGCCCTTCAATGGTTTGACACCCAAATGTGCATTTCTTCCAGATTTTGAAAGCAAACATCTTTCTTGGAATTAGAAATTTTTTTTTTTAATATATGGCAATGAACCGGAATTGTGCTACTGAGGATAGTTTTTTACAAGTGAAAAATTCAAATCAAAACTTCTTTTCCTTCGGCACAAAATATGTTTTCGTAAAAGGTGTATTCACAAGAGTCCTAAATCTTCAAAGCTGGTGCAAACACAGCTAATTAATTAAACAAACACGGCTATGTAAATAAGAACAAACAGGGCTGTACCTTCCTCGTACGGCAGCCTAAATACACATCTGCAAATGTCACAGTTACTTACGCATACTTTCTAAAAATAAATAATTTCTTTTCGTAGGAAAGGTTCTTGGCATCTCCTGGAAAGAATGCTTCTCATGCAGCACACTAGTGCACTGCAGGGAAGCCGTAGCCCAAGAAGCCGAATAGAGCAAATTCTCTGAACCGTGCAAATTTGCGTCCAGAAACTTGTTCTCACACTGATTCGAAAGCTGCATACTTGGTTCACCGTGCGACCAATGACGTTCATCTCCAAAGGTGAATTAGCACAAGGCCTCACTGGACCACTTTATGTTTAGGGCACTTGTTTCCACTTGCTAAGCTACAGGCACATGTTATGAGAAGGAGGTGAAGAAGCTGCTATCTTTTTAAAACTTTATTGTCGAAGTTTGCCGGGCTACTGCTCAGGAGAAACATCTTGACATACAAAGTGAGTGACATTGTTCTAGACAAACATATTCTAAATTAGAGGTGAAGAAATCTTGTTAGTGTCTCCCAACCATGTGTGCACGCTCAAGTTTCAAACAAAGCGCTATGCGATAAATGGGTTTGGAATCTATAGTCGATGACAGGTCAAGAACGAAGTGGAAGCTCCTCCCACCCCTTTCCACTTGAGCGTAGCGAATGGTAGAGAGGAGGTCATCTCCTCTCCAACGTCCGCTCTACTGAAGTTGAAAGAGGTGGGAGGAGCTTCCACTCTGTTCTTGACCTGTCACCGACTATAAAGTGTTTATCAAAAGTACTGAAAATATTGCGGGCGAGATTGCTTTTTTATAGTCGGTTCACACCAAAAAGCATCAAAATTTGGAAACTCAAATGAACAATCAAATGCCACCACCAATTTTTGTGAGCGAACCACTAAAACCCTGTGAAAAAATGGTCTACTCCACAAAAATAAGGCGAGCAAATGGCGAAGGGTATAGAAATAATTCTGTCCTAAGCTCGACACAATACAAGTTTCACTTTTAGAAGCTAAGTGGTTTAAGTAATGTAGTGCGGCAATGTTCATCAGTCCATGATGAGCACTAACATGTTGTATATGGCAGGTACCATTTCAAGGTGGCGTTTAACCTGACCCGCAACTTTTCTGATGATGATAAAGTGATCTGCGATGAGGCTAATGATGTGTTTAGCGAAACAATGATGTAGGAGGTCATAAAGAGGAAAGAAGAGAGAGAGATAATAAATCTGGAGAAATTAGTTATCGTAAAATTGACCACGGCTAGAAAGAAGGGAAGAAATTATATGAATGTTGGTTATGCATGTGTAAAGATGTGTAATGTCTCATTAGACTATACAAATAAAACCATGGAAAGTAATAATTGACTAAAGCTGTGCACAAATGTGGCGACAGACGGCTCAATGAAAGCAGTCAATGACATGGGACGATATTGAATGCCCTGTCACATTCTACGGAAATTATGTCACC